TTCTTTGCTCGAGAGAAGTTTTGTGCTTCGAGATCAGTACCTCCACGGTGCAAGGCCAGTTTTCTACGAAGACATTATTGCCCTCAGGTCAAGCAACTGCTCACATGATATGCGTCATCTCTGTTTGCCTGATTCTTTCCTCCCACCTGTCCTCATTGTGGACGCTGTTCCAATCACCACTATTCTTGAGCGTTTTTTGGCACGTGACTATTCAGCAGCTCATCTGAGGTGCCAATTCACGTGAACTGCTGCCGAGGTTTTTCTGAAAGGGTTCAAGGAACTGTAACATTTTGTGAGACTTTGATAATGGACAGATACTATTGACAAGTGACGGCACACTACCCTCTCCGCCTACCGTATCAACCTTTTGCACCTCTTCAACAGGAGAACTGCTTACATGTAATGCGGTAAGTTGTCGTTTCAAACAAAGTCCCAAATTGTGAAAAAAAAACTACAAAAATGAGTTAATTGCCTTTAGTGTTGATCCAGCCTAGAAGCTGGATACACGCCAGCCATCGATCCAATATTCTTACAGTGACTATACATCTACATTTCTCGTCGTCGCCAGCTCGTCAAGATTGGCAGAAGAAACTTTGGCTCCTTGCAGAATGATCTCGTTGTACGTAGAGGGTCATCGTTGCACTTCAGCGCCTTCACGGGCATTACTGTGTCTTTGGCCTTCCTCTGAAACGCATAAAATTCGTCTACACCGCTGCTTAGTATTAAATCGCCGTAGGAGAGTGGAAACATGCAAATATGGCATCTACATGTGAGCAGGTGCCAGTACTTCTCCCATAATTCACTTCCTTCAAACGCGTCTAAAATCTTGGAATTGAGTTTCTTTACGTGAAATACATCCTGGGCCAATCATCACATCCCTCTCTTGCAAATGACAGTGTTATCACCTGCTCTTAAACCTCGAACCCTGATGCCGTTTTGTGATCTGACTTTACCTCGCACGCACCTACATTCGTATGACTAGCATGAGCATGAGTGCAACGATGCAGCATGAGCTGTCTTTGAGAGTGCAGTACTGTTGCAACTACTCATTCCTTGCCGGATTCATTTGCACTCAGAAAGTCAGCGCCTTCTCCGTAACCCAGGGCAGGATTGGTTATTCCCTTCCTGTCTGAGAAAGCATCTTCTGTCGAAGAAAAAAAGATTTCTTTGAAGCTTCATCGACGTTTTCACTTCCGGACTGAGCACTAAAGGGGGGCATTGAAATCACCCTCTGCCTTTTGAAGGCACCACACCTGAGGTGAGTCTGGAGTAACGAGCTGCGCCATTTAGCAATGCGCTTGACGCGAACGTGGTTCAACTCGGATCTTCAGACTGCCACCGGGAACTGTTCAGGAGGTTAATGAATATGCTTATAATGTAGACGTGCCCCGCCGATGATCAAGCACTTTGTGGTACAAAAGTTTAACACACACCTGGCGTTGTGTCTCTCACGCTGTCGATGAGGAGACGGCTGTCTGCCTCAGGCCATATGGTGTAATCGGCTCCCAGGTCGCATTGTTCCGTCTGTGGCAATTGCGACTTCGTGACACGACAAAGTACGAACAACTGACGCCAGTAATCGTACAAAACGTTTTCGTCGATGTCGCTCGACACATTTGTTGGAGCGTAGGCGACAGTGATATCCAGGGTCGACAGACCGGAACTCTCGATGACTCTGAGTCAACCGACATGACCGTCAGGCTTACCCTAGAAGACAAGAGGATGGCACAGTCTACTCTTGCAGGACAAGCATCCCCTTCGCCAGGAAGGGAGCTACCGCCACCACCAGTACACCAATAAGTGTCGACGGGTCGTACGGCAAACTTAACTTAACTTACCTTTGCCAGACAAGAAACGAACCTACCAACATGCAACACGCAACTTGTCGCTTGTTGTATTGACTGTTGGAATCACAAGGCTGCTGGCTTGCAGTTCACTGGTAAGTTGTGATAGTGAACGGCTCACTGCACAATAAATTCGCCACCACTCGCTAAAAAATCCATCTAAGAATTCTAATACAGCATAAGAAGTAGACTATCTCAGCTAATGACTGGCTTTGCACCTATTATACTAGTGGAACGGTTATAAATTAAATATGGCATGATTATCTTTTAACTTCTATGAATTGCGTGAGCATTAATTGGTATATTATTCCACAGCATTAAAAAAGAATTGCTGTTACTGGAACGATATGGCATGCGTAAAACTTACATCCAACTCTTTAAATCATTGTGTACTTTAAACTGGCGCAACACATGTTCCTTCCCCGAGCAACTGTTCCTAGATCACTACGGGAAGCAAATTTGTTTTAAATAACAACGCTTAGTTTTGAGGAGTGAACACACAGTTCCTTTATCATACGTTGTTTGCTTTTCGACAAGTGCTACACAGAAAATGACTGGTTCCATATATAGATGACCATGCTTTCACTCTGAGGGACAGAACTTCAAACTCTTGCCGATATTTTTGAAAGTGTAACGGAACAGGAGCCTTAAATAAATCTATGTATTGGTATGAACGAACAGATACAAATACATGCGCAAATTGAACAACATACAATTAAATGCGAAATTGTACTTAGTAATTCATGCGGTTTTAGTGCAATAAATTGAACTATAAGTTTTTTTGACATCATGGTTGCAAGGATAAAAAAATTCTGTGCAAAAAGAGCACGCGGTAACACAGCCCAGCTTTCAGGCTTACACTTTATGCGCATGTCTGATTATAAAACACGTGATCGTTGCCTGCAAGGCTCAAAAATATTTTTTCTGTTGCAAAGAGGTTTTGTGACTCTAATCATTGAATTGGTAGATCTCTTTTCCAGAAGTTTAACTAAATCAGTGAGAGTATGGCAAAAAATAGAACTGAGTATAAGTTTTCCGTCTACCGGATAGCCACCGAAGTGAAAAGAATCACACATTTTTTATGGGGCATAAACTCCAAGGGTACTTTATAGAACTATAAATTCAAACCAATATCTGGTAAATAAGACATCAAAAAACTGGGCGACTTCAAAAATGGACTGAAACAGCAATGCCATCCTTGACAACGGATATATCATTTATCAGTTCATGCAGCCCATATTTAAAGCAATGAAGTCAGAGCTAAAATAGCGTGTTAGTAATGATAAAAATTTTTAAATAAGTTTCTGTAAAGCCTTGGTGTACAGTCTCTGTTTATCCAGATCGAGAAGCCACAGCTGCGATAGTTTGGAAATGTGTTATGAATGCCTCCAGAAAGTAAGGCTAAGTAATTGCTCCTTAGGAAACTAACCCGCAGACGGCCCATTCGAAGGCCAAGATTAGTCTGGTGCAAATATATGAATGGAACCAGTTCCAGACTCCAGTTGTTTTCTACCGAAGCTCAGACTCTCACAGAAGAATGAGAACGCTGGAAGTACTGTCTGACGCGTCTGTCTCCGCGGCCCGAAAGGAAAAGCGGCTATGTGGAAGATGAACAAGAAGAAGATGAAGAAGTTTTTGTAAGTCTTTGGCACAACAGCGCAATGTTCAATTTTCAAATCCTTCAATCCAGTACCAGAAGCCCCCAACTCAACTTTGAAAAACTAGGATTCCGGAACAAAAACAAATAATAACATCGTATAAATCTGAAGAATGACCCTACTTATGCTGTCTAGTCATTTTGAAGTGTAAGATCTTTGAGGGATTTTTCCTCAGATTTTGTACTGGTTTGCTCAGTCCTGAGTCCGAAGTAAACTGCTTTCGTATGTTATCTTGCAATATTCCCTTGAAGAACACCTACTATTTTGACCAATACGTAGTATTAACGGAGAGTAGAGACTGTTTAATCGCTCTATCATATCGAACTGCACTATATTTGATATAATTAAACATAAAATTTCTTCAGATGCATACAATGCTTCGCCAAATATGCATTGAAAACAAAATTCATTCACTCGTTTTCGCCAAGAGAATGCAAGCGCATTATAATGAATTGCTGACGTAACATTACAACTTATTCATCTTGACGATCAACCTCAGACAAGGCAGTGTTTGCCTGATGTTGATTATGAGTGTGAAGTTGCGTCACTAAAAAGATTTGTACGTGTGGCAGTTTTTAGTTCTTACGAAAATCGATTGTTTTAATAACGCTTTTATTTGTTGCGCAAGCAGGCAGAGTTGATGGACAGACGGACGGTGGTCTCGCCTTTGATCGACTGTCGGCTATCGATCATCGCCGCTTGCACGTCACCCAGGTTCTGTTTGTTGTTCGTTCGTTCACCACGGTTTGGCGATGATCAGAAAGTCAAGGTAACGTTAGGCAAAGTGAGGTTCGGCTCTTCATTGGCGATGTTTATGCTTCCGGACGGTTGTTCGACACCGCTTCCGACTTGTGGTCTTCCATTAGCGTTTACAGTTGAGAATTGCTTATTGGCTTGAATCTGAATTCCCAGAAATTTAGGGAATTTAAAATAAGCGCCAGAACCTCATCAATGGGTCAAAACTGCAGCTGCCTAACTGCTGTCTCAAAAGGCGCGGGTCTGCGG